TCGTTAAAAGTCAAGACAACTCCAAATGGCCATTTTGGGGGCCAAGTTTCCTGAAAACTCGCTTCAGCACTTGCATCATTTGCCAGGCAGTGTACTAAAGGATGGACCCTTATTATTGTCCTTGGCGCTTTTGTTGTCCGGCGGGCTTGGTGAAACCCAAGGCTTGTTAGTCACGCACGCTGTCTTTCGCCCCAGTTTTCAATCGCCTCACCCGGACCTCCGGAGCAAAAACTTCACTGGGGCGAAATACGAGGGGCCTGCACCGCGTGGGGAACGAGCCCGAGCCGCAGCTTTTTGACCCGACCTGCACCTGCCGGCTGCGGCGGGGACGGACCGGGCCGGGGCCGAAGCTCCGCCACGGTACGCGGGCACGGGCGGGCAGCGGGCACGGCACACTCCCCGCTCCCTCCCGCACCGACCCCCGCAGGCCGCATCCATCACACGAGCGGGTTTTGTTTGTCCTCCGCCGAAAGCGGTTCCCCGGCACAGGGCGGGAAGGCCCTGCCCGCCCACCCCCCCCGCACCCCGGGGCGGCCGCGGGCGCTCCCCTCCCTCCCTACCTGTCTCGTCCTCGTCGATGCGCAGCGCCATGGAGATGCACTCGAAGGCCCGCTTGTGACACGACCGCACCGTCTCGGGCGCCCCGCCGGGCTCGGGCGCGTCGCCGGCCCTGCTGCCCTTGGCGGCCATGAGGGCGCCGCGGGAGAGGCGCTCGCAGAGCCAGGCGAAGAGCAGCCCGAGCTGGAAGGCGACGAAGCGGAGCAGGGCGAAGGCGGCGAACAGCGGGTACGAGAAGTAGTACAGGTTCCGCTTGTGCGGGGACGCCGCTGCCGTCGCCGCCCCCGCCGGCGGCACGGGGGGCGCCGGCCCGGGCGGCGAGGAGGGAGAGGCGCCGGCGGCCGGAGGCGCGGAGCTGGAGCCGGCTGAGCCCTTCTTCTTCCCTCGGCCGCCCGGAGAATTCATTCACCGCCGTCGCCATAACCCGCTGCCAGGGACTGACAACAACCAGCCATGGCGATGGCGGCGGCGACGCCCCTTTCGGCCCTCCCAGGGGGAGGGAGAGAGGGAGGGAAAGAGGGACGGAGGGAGGGAGAGAGGGATGCGGGCGGATCCTGCCGGGAGCGGGGCGGGGCTTTCCAGCGCTGTGCCTGGAGAAAATCAAGGCTGCTCCAGCCGTGGCCGAGGCCGTTAGATGGCACATGGAAACGCACCGAGTGGACGGAGGATGAATAATTTAATAGGACTAATTATGCTGACTGGAGTCGGGAGCCGCCCCGCAGGCACAGTGCAGCGCGGATCCCTGGCGTCGCTCCCGCCGGGAGTCATTGCTAGAGGCACACGAGGAGGGCCCGGGGAATTCCCTCGCACGCAAGGACGTGTGGCAGCCCAGTCACCGGCAGTGTCCGTGCTCCCGCCGCCTGGAACTGCCCCCGGGAGAGCGTCCTCCGGCGCTTTGTCTGCTCCGCATCTCTGTAATCGAAATGACAGGCTGTCTGCTCACACAGAGGGAGCTAACGCAATTCAATATACATTATAGATACATCGTCCTGAGAAGTAAAAAAAAAAAAATAAAAAAATAAAACCAGAACTCTATTTCCACCCTCGTTACAAAAAGCGATCACCCAGTTGTCCAAGCCCTTGTTTGTCAATTACTTTCCCAGCTATAATATTTATTTATTTATGTATCCACTAATGAGACAAATGCTCCAGCTCCCTATTCTTATGGTTATTTCAAACCTTAAAAATGCCTGGTACCTTTGGTTTAGGAAACAAGGGGAGGCACCCACACAACAGCATTCCCACGTTCTGTGCCTACTGCTATATTCAGCCCTGTTGCAAGGCCCTTCATCTGTGCTTCAGTCTTCCCCCCCCTTTTGGTTGCCTTGCCTATTGGTTGATCTTTTCTGCTGTTGTTTTGCTTTGTCACGCCCTCTGTTCCACAAATAAAACACTGAGCTCCTGATGTTAATTATGACAGATCATGTCTCTCCTACACCTCTGAACTGCACACAGTAGTCCAGAGTTCCCAAACAGTAGACACATAATTCAGTGCACAAGCATTAATTAATTCAGTGCACAAGCAAGTTTTCCCAGTTTATAGCAAGAAATTGCAGTTGGTGCTGTGTGTTAATTAAAAGGACATGCCAAACTGAAATCACTTCTGTCTGCCACGTTTTATTTATTATGATTATTTATTTTTCCAAAATGACTATAAAACAACTGGTTTTTTTCTTGTTTGCTTATGCCTTGTATAGTTACTTTACTTCCCTTGGTAATGTGTATTGATTTTCTTAAATGACTGACTGATTTTCTTAAATGACAGAACTGAGTACTTATTTTCTTACTGTACAAAACACAGAATTTTATCAAACTTGAAAATGTAGTAATGTACATCAGGTATTTTTCTCCTGTACTTGGAAAGAAGGATGATGTACTTCTATTATGAAAATATTATTGAAATATTTTCCAGTCCACTCGTGGCTGAACAAAGTTAAGTATCTTTTTTTTTTTTTCAGTATACTTAACTATCCTTTAAAAAGAAAAAAAATCTCGTTTCCCAATATAAAGGCTTAACAAATTTTGGAATATCAAAGAAATTCCAGAAGCTTCAAGCAGAGTAAATACTAAGTAGCATTCAAAAATGTGAAGTGAAATAAGCCCCATGACAACAGATTACTGAACTACTGTCTTTATTATCTCATCACTATCTAAAGTGTCATCCCACTCCTGATCAAAATAGAAAAGCTAGTGAAGAAATAAGTTTATTGACAAGGACAAATTAAATGACAATAGAAGACAATGTACCTCAATCAACCCTGACTAGTCAATCTATTCAGTTATTTTTAAGTTAAAAAAAATTAGAATGACGCCTTTGTAGATCATGTGGCTGTATCATGGCAATAAACGACTGCACCTGTTGGGGAATAACAAGTTAAACCAAAAACACAGCTTCAGAAGCAGACACTGTCAGGAACTGTGAGAAAACCTAGAGAATCTGTTCACTAGTGTGGCTATTAAACATTTGAGTGATCTGCAAGTTGAATCTCCCTACCTTCCTACATTAAACTGGCTCTAACCGTCTTTGGTCTTGTCTGTGAGCTATTCTAATTAATAATGTGGCATAAGATTAATGCTAGTTTGAAAAACAAAACAAAACCAAAAAAAACAAAGAAACAAACCTTAAACCTCATCAGACCATCGGATGGCTCTCTGCTGACCTCAGCAAGGACACGGACATTGGCAAGGGGTGGAAGAAGAAGTGAAACCTCATTTTCTGGAGTGGGCAACTGTTGGATCAGCTCATCCACCTGATTGGACTTTGTTCTGAAGATTGTACCTCCTGTATTTCATGAGTCCTCGATCTGGTATCTCAGCTAAAGGTTTTTATATTAGAGCAGAGAAGCACTACAGTCATAGGACTAAGAAAGATTCAAATAATCTGACACCATAACTTACCATTGCACAAAAGGTCAAGGCAGGAAACTTTTTCTCACTCCCAACATGATATCACCACAAAAACTGAATATAATAGAGAATATATAAATGTGGAAACAGGGCTAGGGGTCTAAGGATTTTTCAAGTATTCTAAATGCAATTCTCAAAAGTGTCACTGCTAGAACCTCATGTAAAATTAGGAGAGAGCCTCAAAACGAACTCAAAAGCTCTTCACATTAAGAATTTGTTTGTATTCCTGTTTTAAGTTTTAGAAAAAAACTCAAGTGTTTTGCCTTCTGTGTTTTCACCTCACCTCCTCAACAGATGTTTGTCACATAAGTTTGCCGGCACCAGGTACTAAAATTGACGCAAAGACAGTATGTAGTTCTCCTATAATTCCAAATATTTCAGTTGAGTATCAAATCTGTGACTGACCACACACAAATTTTTAAAGCCTGCTTGTCACACTGGTAACATTGTCAGTTCTGTAAACATGGTTGTTTCAAGTTCACTGATGTACATACTTAATCACCATTATGAGATTATTACATCAGAGCACAATCAAGTGAAAACATGGCATATTCTATTCTTTCTCCACATCACTCATCCGTTAAGAACATCAGGTAAGTCACTCATACACACTGTCATTACTGCAGCAAGGACAGAAAAAAAAATAGACCTATTTTTGTAAAGCAACAACAAAAATGTTTTTTCTCAAAAAAACCCAAACCTACAGGAATGTAACTACTTCATCAAATCAAAAATAAAAAGATTCTTAAGACCTTTTTAATCCTCTAGCACAAACCATGTTACCAGACAGAGAATTCACAGTATCACAGAATTGTTAGGGTTTGAAGGGGCTTCTGGAGATCATCTAGTCCACTGCCCCCGCCAAGGCAGTGTCACCTAGAGCAAGTGATACGAGAATGCGTCCAGGTGGGTTTGGAATGTCTCCAGAGAGAAGAGACTCCACGACCTTACTGGGCAGCCCGTTTCAGAGTTCTGTCAGCCTCAGTGTAAAGAAGTTGTTCCTCAAATTTAATTCCTACTAAAAACAAAGAAATCAGGCACAGATGTTCAAACACCGGTACAATCTGTAACAGCGCAACAACTACAGAAGCAGCAGATTATTCCGTTTCCCGACAGCTTCCAGTCGGGACAGGATGGTTAAAGCCGATACTGGACAAAGCTGAGCAGCTGCGTTTTTGTTAACAGAGAAAATTAACGGCCAGCAGTCACCGTTGTGCAAACCGCGTTCTACACAGCTCTGGAAGGTTATTCACTAACAAATCCCCACTCCCAGTTCCACATCAGCTTCAGCACCGCTATTTTTCGTGACCGCCACAGGGAGCCCCTCAGACATCAGACCGCGTTGACGATGAGCACGTTTCTGAAGCACAAAGCGCCCAAGCGCCAGCATTTCTCGAAGGTGCGTTCGGAGCCGCAAGATCCCGCGGCCCCATTCCCGACAGGACACCTGGGAATGAGGGCCCTCGCCGAGCTCCCGTCCCGCGCACGCGCAGTGCGCCGGGGGGCGGCGGCGCGGCCGCTTCAGTGACGTCAAAACAGCTCGCGACGGCGGCCGCGGTTGCTGCGGAGCCGCTCCTGCCGTCCCGCCGATCCCAGAGGAGTGCCGCCGATCCCAGAGTCCCGGACCGACTGCCGGTGAGAGCCGAGCGGCGGGGCCGCCTCTCCCCCGCGGGGCACCTGGGGCACGGCCGGGGGCGGCGGCCGCACGTGGCCTGGGGGGCGGCGGGGCCCCAGCCCGGCCCTGCCCGCCGGGGGTCTCGCGGCGCTGTGGCGGGAGAGGGGGGGACTGACGGACGGACGGACAGAGGGAGGGAGGAGGGTGAGGGGTGTCTCCGGCTTCCCGCGGGGATGAATGCTGTATTTCCTAACACCGGTACCACTCTCTCCAGGGGATCTGCCCCGATCCTTAAGGCACTTCTCGGTTCTGCGCGTGGGAAAATCAAGTTTGGCGCGGGGGGAGCTCAGAGGAGCTCGCTCTGCTCTCTCTAGTAGTTGTGCCTTAGTAACCATTAGTAACCAAATGATGCAGTATCACTTAACTCACACTGGGCTTCCTCTCAGCCTGCTGACCGGTGCTTTTATTGCTTTCCAAGATTTTCCTGCACATCCAGCAACGTCCAGTTTTCAAATCATGGAGGGAGAACAGATTATGGAGGGGCAGCCGCAGGTATTGCAAGAAATATTTTATGTGCATAATGCTACGTGAATAAAAGGAGCGTTTTCTCCATGATGACCATCTGTTATTTTACAGGTTCCAGAAAACCCGCATTCCGAATACGGTCTCACTGAAAATGTAGAGGTAACCAAGCTGTTGTTGTTGTAAAGTACAGTGGAAGTCACGTTCCTGATCAAGGGAAAAAATGTTGAGTCTTGAGTTTAACTTCAGCAAATGTAATGTTCTCAAGAAAGTTAGCTGGAAATCAAGCCAACAGATACCTGTCGCTTGCATAAATGGCTATGGATATATTTTCTGTTGTATTGCTTCCCTTGTACTAAATGGTTCTGAAGTAAATAATGCACCTTTTAATGAGATGGTGGGTTTTTTTAAGTATCCTATGATCATTATCTATTCTGTCACTATCTATGATATACATACAACTGTATTATCTATTATGCCACAGAAAAAGCCATCTGGATTTTTATTACAGGGAGGGAAATGGAAGGAGTTGATGTTATTTCTGTGGAAGTATCAAAGGAAAAGATTCTTTTCATGTTCTTGTCCACAGAAATATTGCATCAGAATAATCCAAGCCATCTTTAATTACTTACGCTGAGAAGGAGTAGATACAGTCCATTCTCTTGCTGTTGGTAACACTGTGGGTTAGAGTAATAAAATCACAGGATATTCTGAGGTGGAAGAAACCCACAAGAGTCATCAAAGTCCAGCTCCTGATCCTGCACAGGACAGCCCCAAGAATCACCAGAGGGCATTGTCAGAACACTTCTTGGACTTCGTCAGGCTTGAGGCTGCGACCACTCCTGTGGGGAGACTGATCCATTGCTCAGCCAACCGCTGGATGAAAAGGCTTTTCCTAAAATCCAGCCTAACCCTCCCCTGTCACAGCTTCATGCCATTCACCAGAGAGGACATTGGCATCTGCCCCTCTGCTCTGCCATGTGAGGAAGTTGTAAACTGCAGTGAGGTCTCTCCTCAGTCTCCTCCAGGCTGAACAGACCAACCGACCTCCTCATATGCTCCTCCTCCTCCAAGCTGCTCCTCATATGTTTCCTGCTCTAGACTCTTCACCATTTTAGTAGCCCTTCTTTGGATCTATAAATAGCTTTATATTTTTCCTATATTGTGGTGCCCAAAGCCACACACAGTATTCCAGGTGAGGCTGCACCAGCGCAGAGTAGAGTGAGACAGTCCCATCCTACCTCTATGGCATTTATTTACTATTCCTTATTAAAGAAAAGCCTTCAGTCTCCCTCCATTAGAAGGTCCTGCTCTGTGCTCAGCTTTTGCAGAAACTATTCTTAAACATCTTTCGTGATTCATCTCCATGATAACTACTTGTGTGTGTGCCTCAGCTTCCACCACAGAACTGTAACACATTCTGATACATCGGTCCTGTATTGGTAGATTCATGTACCTTGCACTGAATGCATTTGGTTTACTGGCAGTGGTAGGGTATAATTTTTTAACTACTGTTTAATGGTGTAAGAAAGATGATTTTTGACCAAAAAGCACACGGAAGCATTTTCTTTAATGTGTCCATCAGTACTTTAGAAGAGCATGGTCTCAAAGTATTCAACTTCAGTAGAGTCCCCTTTGTCAGACTTCACCTGAATTTCTTGTGCTTTTAGCATTTTGTATTAGAAGCATGTGCATATAGGAACCATGTAATTGAGACTGCTCTTGTCAGTAGTGAGTCCTGTCTTAGCAGTGTAGAATTCAAATCTGTGAATGCAAAAGCAGAAATAATAATTATACAGATTGGATATCTTCTGTTTTAGAAAACTGTCTACTTGCTAACATTGTTTCCCTAAGATGTAAGAATTTAACAGAAGGCTCCTCTGGATTAGGTTTTTGTTCAAGGAAAAATACACACTTAAATTTTCTTAAAAGATATAAAGAACTTATTGCCAGTGAATTGCGTAGAGATGGGTATTTTGTACTTTCAAAGTAGATGTGGCTGCTGTTATCAGTGTGGATTCACTTCTTCTTTTGTATTTCAGAGGATAGTAGAAAATGAGAAACTAAATGCAGAGAAAACATCAAAGCAGAAGGTTGATCTTCAGTCATTACCCACACGTGCCTACTTGGATCAGACAGTTGTACCTATCTTGCTACAGGGACTTGCTGTTCTTGCGAAAGAAAGGTAAGATGCTTCAGTGTTCCTTCTGTTCTTGGCAAAATGTAGGTCTCAAACTTGGGCAGCACGTCACCTTTCAGGCACGTGGTTCTGGTAGTTACGCACCACGCATTGTTCTGGTAGTTATAAGAACGTCATTACAACAGGCTTATGAACCTACCAATTACTGTGATTGACTGTGCAGGATGTGTTCTCCACTGAGGTGTTTATCATGCTATCGTGCTTATTAGGTGCTTATGGCATGATAAGAGTTACTTATTTCATTCATAATATCACAATGAGGTGTGCTACTGCAAAAGTTTTGGAGGGAAAAATGGGGCTATTTTTGTTACTAATTTTATCAGATAATTCACCTTATAAAAGTAAGGCAAGAAGTTGTTCTAGTTCTGAAGATTTATGTAGTCTGAAATTATAAAGAGTTCTGCTTGCCATTTGAAAGCAAGCAAGACAAATCAGGCCTGACGTGCATCTTTGTTGGAGATTAAAAGGCTTTCTGAAAAGTCAGGCTGACCCTGCACTGTCAACACAGTAAGAAGCAAACTGATAGTTTATCCTCTGAGTGAAGATTGTGCTGTCAAGGTGCTCCAAATCTCTGACCAGTCGATGTAGAAGGGTATCCTTCAATAACAGCAAACAGCTGTTCATCTAAGCCAAAATAATTTCAAGCCCTTTTAGTGTATCTTCGCTAGTGGCAAGTAGTACTGCATGTAACCATCACTCAGTTTCACTGAAATAACAAAATGAAAAACTGCTATGAATGACCATAATGGCATCATGGCACCTACAGTCAGAACAACCATCAGAAGTGTCTTCTTAACTTCAAAAGGAGTTGGGAATTTGAACTGCAGGGTACAGACAGCTAATTAGGCAAAATCAAGCACCTAGGAAGGTCCGCTGTGTGTGTACACCTGAGCAGGGTGCGGATCTTTGGCTGACATCTGTGGGAGTTCTGCTGCACACTCAGTGTAAAACACCTGTGAGATTCATATCCCACGCTTAACACTCTGGATACTTGTGTTACAGGCTAACTTTTTCCTTTATCTTTTTTTTTAATTTATTTAAATCTTCACTATGGAAGAAGCTTTTTTTATGAGGACTCATCACATGAGTGAAACTGGACCATTGATGGAAGAGGTTGGGGAATGTATAGGTATAAAATCTAACAGTATCAAACTGGCAGGTCAAATTGGCTGTTCAGTGGAGCATAGTAACCCCTTGGGAGTGAGAGAGCTGAGCTATCAGCTCTGCTGTATAATCTGATTAAAATCGAAGTGGAAAGTAACTAATGGATGCCAAGTTCTTTCTCTAAGGAATATAAAAATATTCAGGGAACAGCCCAGTCCAGTCCCTCTGGTGGCTATGCCTGGAATTCAGTAGAAATTATGCAGGATAGTGAGCCAGATGGATCACTTACATATTTGGAAGGAGTCAACACAAGTTTTTGTCAGGTGTTGTAATTGTCTTAGAGTTTATTGAAGGAGACACCAAGCACATGTAAAGAAGAATGCAGATGATACAGTCTTTTAAAATTAAATTTCCAAAAAGTTTCTCATACAGCCGTTCACTGAAAGCTTTTAAAGAGAGTTGCTGTGGGATTAAAGGAAAAGTCTTTATATGGATGGAGAACTGAATGGACAAAATAAAGGGTAGAAGTATATAGTGAATTTTCATGGTGAAAAAAGATCAACACTAGAACATGGAAAGTATAATTTATATCAATTTGAAGAAGAGGCTGACAAAATTTGTTAATGAAACTGAGTTTTACAGGCTAGGTATGGGTGTTTTGGTTTCTGTTAGTTTTTGGGGTTTTTTTAAGTTGATCAATTGTAATTGCACAGGAACTTCATAAAACTCTCAAGACTGCTATGAAAAATTGAAACTATGGTAAAAAGCAAAAGATTGAATCCAAATAAACAGAAAGTTTCAGACCTAGGAGGGTAGTGACAAATGCTAGTGACAAAATGTTAGATGCTGAGTTGACAATTACCCGTAGGAAAAAATATCTTTAACCTGTTACATGTATATGCCAATGCATTGCTCTAATAAAAAATAATTTCTGAATGGTAGGACTTAAAAACCAAAGGGGTAAAAACAACTTAAGAAATTGAGGGGGTAAAAAACAAGCATAATGTCATTTAAATTTATAATGTTCTTGTATTTTTAACATTATGTGTAATTCCAACTCTCCTGTATTCTAGTAGAATGTGAAAAAATAAGAAGAGTGACAAGGTGGTCAGAAGGAATGCTGTCTGTCTACAGAGTGACTGAATAGATGATATCTAGAAAAGAGACTTCTCTGGGAGAATATATTAGGAATCTGTTAAATCACAACAGTGTAGAGATGATGAATTGGGATGGACTATTACCTCTTCTGATACAATAATGGAATTAAGTGAAACTGGTAGCAAATTTATAAGGAATAAAAAGAGCTGATCCTTTCACAGGTCACATAATTAAGCTACATAATTTTTTTTGCCTTAGGTTGAGGACATTAAGGTTTTATTTGTGCTCAAGATGTCAAAGCTGTAGAGGAATCCACCCAGGACTTTTAAGAGTTGTAGCTCAGAAATTGGTACATGCTTGGGAACCAAAAGGATCATCCAGAAAAATATCTCTGTACATTTCTTCCAATTTTTATGCTGCTTTATAGGTATATTTGCCTCACTGCCAGACCTTTTGTCTGACCAAATGTGGAATAATTAAGTTTGTCATTCTGTGGACAAAATCCTGATTAGCAGGATTCATGCACTGTAGCTGGAGAAGCTTTTTTTTTAAAAAAAAAAACAAAAACAAACAGACAAAGGCCAGTGATCGGAAGTGTTTATTATTGACTACTTTCAAGTTGCAGCACTTCTCATACTTGAAGTTTTGTTGTGTTCATTACAGTTGCCAGAAACCATGAGAACGACTTTAATGCACAAAGCTACACGATAACCACTTGAAGAGAATGAAGAAAAAAAGCACTGACAGATTCAGTTTTACTTTATATAGAATAAGTTAAAGAAATAGGCAAATGCATGTCACATCTAATCATGTTCATACAGCATTTATACTTACAGACTATACCCTAGTTTTAGGTATGTAACTGTAGCAATTTAGTGACATTGAGCCAACTAAGAGACTAAGACCCTTTTTTAAAAACTTTCTCATTAGACATAAACTGGAAATTCGGAGTCACTCTAGGTAGTCAGCCATCCCTAAGTCAATGCTGGTAAGTGTTTGGGAGGAGTTATGTTGCTTTTAAGGGACGGTGATCAGTTCTTCAGCTACCTAATTTCATATAACAAAAAATAATTGCTTTTGATTTACCTTTTTTTTTTTTTACAGACCGCCAAATCCCATTGAATTTCTAGCAGCATATCTTTTAAAAAACAAGTCACAATTTGAAGACCGAAATTAGCTCCATAAAAATGAGGACAGTTTGGCTGCTAGACTGAAATGCTCATTCACCGCTGTTTATTTCCTGCTGTAAAAATCCTTTGGCCATGTCGTCGTCTTTCTTAACTGCACAATTTGCTGTACCTTTTGAGTTATTTAATAAAGAACACTTTACATTTAATTTGTTCTCTTGTTTTAAACTAGGTATTAGGAGACTTTCAAAATAAAGTACTGAAACTGCACTGCTGGATGAAAGTCTGAATAATTCCATGGGGCTACACCACCTGAAAGCATGGAACAAAGGGGAACAATTTATTATGGGAATCACATAGGTGATAATGTATATAACTGTATTGGATTTTTAGATAGCATCCCGCCACATGCAACATGCCTGAACAGAAAGCAAACAAATGAAGAACAATTAGAATTTCTTTTGAGGAAGTATTGATTAAGTAGAGAGGAGAGAACTTACTTCAGAAGACCAGGAAATGGGTTTAGTTAAAACAGACAATTAGATCCAGCAGCTGAATAGATCACCTACAGACAGTGGCCAGCATTTCACATATTTACATTAGTGAAGTTTGCTGTTCAACATTTGTCATTGATCTCCTCTGACTGGGGTGCTGGATTTAGCTGAAACACAGAATAAAGTTTGAAGTAACTTATAAAGGTTCTGCAGTTCAGTTCTCTGTGCTGCCACTCCCAGCTGGAGTGATTTTTCTCTGTCAAAAGATGGAATCACCAAGTTGGGATGGACCCATAAGGATCATCAAGTCCAACTCCCTCCTGCTCACTGGACCACCTAAATCTAAATCATATGATTAAGAGTATCATCTAGATGCTCCTTGTATTCTCACAGGCTTGGTGCTGTGACCACTTCCCTGGGGAACCTGTTCCAGTAACCAGCCACCCTCTGGGTGAAGAGTCTGGACATCTTTTTCTGATGTCTGGGACAATCCTAATCTAAGTAGTAAAATATCAAGTAATCTGATTTTTTTTTCCCCTTGGGTTTCCTAACGTGTTTTGTTTTCATTTGGTCTTCCCAAATGTTTTCTTAACCTCTTTTTCTGATCCTTTGTTTATTTTTCCTGTAATCTCAGTAGAGCTAAAGGCCACAAACCTTACAGTACAATATAAGAAGTTGCAGCAGAAGACAGGATCAGAAGAAAAGACAAATTAATTAAGACAAAAAACACTATTTAGTCAAATAATAGTGTAAAAGTTCTGAAAATAGGAATATTATGACTGTAAACTGACTCATTAAGTTATTGGCAATTGGTACACAGCCCTCCGAGTTCCCATTTTTGTTTTTTGACACTTTTGACAAGGACCATAACTAATGTTCACTAGCACTGGATACTGGAATCCAGATTATGCCTAGCCCTCTTTTTCAGAGACTGGGAGAATAAACATAATTTTTTTGACAGTGACAGAAATGGCAAACTTGGCCTCCAAGAATAGCTGAATTAATCAAAATCCTAAATTTTTATTAAAATATTTTTAATTTTGCCATCTTACCATTACCATTTCCATTCAGTGTTTCTTAGGTAATTGCTTTAATATAGCAAGCAGTTAAAACCTTTAAATTAAATTCTTTGCTGCAAGGGTTGGTGTTTCTCCATGTGCTATGAAAGGCTGCATATTTTTTGGTAATTATGCATAAATTCACACAAGAGAGACTTGAGTCTCTCATTTGACTTGTTCCTGTAACAGTTTAAAGATACTCACTGTATTTGGAGTATAATAAGAATTATTTTCCTTACTTCTGTGACATGCAGTTGACCTTCCTATGGTAATCTGAAGATTTTTTTTTTTAACACAGCTTTTCTTCTTTAATAGTGTAGGTATATGGATGTAAGAGTGGCCACAAGATAGATTCTTCAGAGGAAAAAAATTACCTTTTCAATAGTCTACAAACTTGCAGGGACTGAGGTCTTGCCATTACTCCTAATAGGAAGGCTCTCACTATTTTGCATATATATTAGTATGGTAACAGGGAAACATTGAATTAGTGCAGTCTGGGAGCAGTAAAATTGGGGAACAAATAAAAGCTGAAAGAAGTCTGCAAACCCAAAATCAAGCCTAAAAAGCTTTATTTTGGAAAATGTACCAAAATTGTGGAATGAGATTACTAATTCTATTGCATTGTGGTGAACACTGTCTCCATCAAACCTTGACACTTTAAAAGATACTGAAAGGATTTTAACAACAGTGTTTTGACTTTCTGGAATGAGTAATAACATTAAAGTGAAGACAAGGAGACACCATAAAGACTTGGTACTGCTATTTTTATTGCTAAAGTGGCATTCCAAGCTTTCATAAGTAACACCTTGGCAAGACAATTGTTAAAAGTAGGGGGAATCTATGCTGCTCCCCAGTTTCAATGTTGAGAATTTGTGCAAGACTACAAAAAGAAGCAGTTCTAATATTAATCCTCCCTTGACAGAGCAATTTTCTAATCATACCTGAATTCAGAATACAGAGAAATCGGACTTCTCACCTTACAGTAACAGCTGTCAAGCAACTGCACAAAATTTGAAATACTCTGTTTTTCTACACAACTCTTGTGTCAACCTAGAATCCCAAAGAATTGGTACCAGTCCTAAGGCGAGCTGTCCCTGCCAGCAGCATGCCATCTACTCAGCTGCTGGCATCACTGGTACATCATGTCATCTGCTCTTTCTTTCCCATCTTGTCTAGAGATTTAATTCAAGAGAATGAAAAAGCCATGTTCACAAGGGGATGATGTTAGGATTTTACTACAGTAGCTCTTCTGGGCAGCCTTCTCTGAGAAAATAAGTTTAAATGTTACTAGCAGCAGTGAACTCACCAGTCCTAAGAATTAAATCTTAGTGATTCCTGCAAAGGTATGACAACTCAGTAAGAGAAGGGCAACCATTTTCCTTTACTTGTTAAACTGTCTTCACCAGTTGACATCTGCTGCACAGAGAATACTCTGTAACAGGAACAAGTATTAAGTTACTATCTGAATAACCAGATCATACCTGAATAATCCAGTTCTCAGTTACAAAAGATGAAGTCCAAATTTTCAAAGCATTTACTTCTTTCAAACGTTCCCCACTAGAAACCAATGAAAATTCTGTGAAGAGACTTGACAGATGCTTGCTATTCCAATTTAATCCAGAAAGAAAGAAGTGCTATTTGTCCACAGGAAACAGCAGTTCTGAAGGCTTCAAGATAAATGTATTTAACTTGGAAGTACAAATAGATGTAGAGAAAAAGCTTAAAGAAATATTTGAAAATGGTAACTTCAGATTTATGACAGGCCACTGCTAAGTAGCTGAAAGCCATTATCTCTTGTTTTTTGAACAATTTTTTTTTTAATTTTCTCCATAGTACCCTAGGTGAGTCAGTAGATGCTCTAAATAGCAGTAAAATTGAGCAGAAAATAAAATGGAATACCTGGTTTACACCACAGCACACCATGCAAGATGACTATTTTAGATTTCCAATATCCAGAAGTTACTATTCAGTAACTGTGAAAGAATTAAATATGAGTCATATGGAGTATTTTGAAGTCTGCCTTTTTAACTGCTTCTACCGAGAACATTCTATTTTACCTTGAAGGGAACAGTGACAGAAGAAAGGATTTCCCACTAAAAGCAATTCTGATCAAAGGATTTTACATCCTCATATTCTGAAGCCTTTTACCACCTAAAAATACAGTTTGACTTGCCAAAGCTTCTTTTTTTTTTTTTTTTATCTCCAATTTATCAAGGACTTTCTCCAAAATCAGTACATGTCTTTGAGCTATCAATTTTATTTTCTGAAGTGCTGTCACCATTGTAAATGCAGTCTGATCAAAAGAACCTCTCTCTCCAACAGACTTCCTAGAAATAAAACAGCCACTTTCAAATAAATGAAAAATCTGAAAAATTCTGAAAGATACAAGCAGTTGAAACCAGTATGTTGGAAACATGAGAAGAATCCCTATGCCTACCACGCTTGAGAGAGTACAGATTTTGATATATTCTTATCATTCTACTAATTACATAACAAATTATTCTTAGCCAAGCCTTAGCTTGTGTTCCCTATTCTATTTCATAGCCAGGATTCATTTTAAGAGTGACTACGTAGCCTGGATCACAGAAGTACAGAATGCCAGCTGTTACAGAAACAGTCATTTTACCATGATGAAAAGATGATCAGCACCCTTTCTGCTCATGTTCCTCATTCAAATACAGTTTTAAGTGAGGACTTCAAATGTAAATGTGCCATGACTAATTATGGGGCAGTTTACATCAGTGCTAGTGCAACAGTGACTAGGAATGTGTCATATTCCTATTCCCAATGTGCTTTTAGCTCTCTTCTCAAAGTTTGCTTTGCAATTGTGTGTAATAGACTCGTTTTCCGAGAGGAGCCTAAATTTATAAAAGGCTGATAGGTGGTTGAGAAGTATTTACAAGATGCATAATTACCCACCGATATTATCTCAGGTGCTATTACATTACATAGGAAGTGGAGATATTTCTCTGGTAAGGACAATGAAGTTTGGGGGGTGGGTATCTGTTTTTAGTAGTAGAAGGAAGGACTGCTTGGAACAGCAGATTCCTTAGCTGCAAAATGACAGTTTGCAAAGAGAAAAACCTATAGTAACAGTGAACAGCTTCCTGAGAAGGGAGAGGACAGGAAGCAGGCATTGTGAAAAGCATGACAGGAAAGAATGCAAAATAAACCACGTGCAAGAGGACAAGAAGAGCAAAAACCAAGAGAGCAACAGACCTTGAAAGCTGGGCCAGCTGAAAACATGTGTCATCCAAGCTGGGCACATGGGGTTACTCAAGGAAAACCCTGCATGCTAAGGACACACTAACTGGCAAGTCACTCCTGCCACGCTTTGCCTTCATGCTTTTCTTCCAGGTAAGGATCAAACTGCAAACACACACATGTAGCAGTGATCTCTGCTTCAAGGTTATGCAGACTTGGGGGACTGTCCATGCATTGTGTCAGCTCTGCCCTGCACATCAAGAGAAAAATTACAGAGATACTAGGTCTGAATAGATAAGTGCTCCTGTTACTGCTCCCCACACAAACAGTGCTTGGAAGAATTACAGATGAAGCAGGAGGATCTCCCAACCTAACCCATGATTCACAGTATTGCACTGAAAGCTCAGCCCAGTTTCTCAGCCTGTCACTTGAACCATTCCATACCTCCATGTCCTGAGCACCAGGAAGCCCAGCACTGCCATCTTCCATCTAACTCACAGAATATCCTGAGTTGGAAGGGACCCACAAGGATTATCAAAATCCTACTCCTGGACCCATACGGGACCATCCCCAAGAATCACATCATGTGCCTGAGAGTGTTGTCCAAACACTTCTTGAAGAGCTGACTGCTTTTCTGTTTCTGCCTCTTTCATTAACATTATGTGGTACTGAGGGAACACATCACCAGCCCTTAAACACAGACACAGTTCATGATCAGGAGGTGACTGTTAGAAATTTAAACAGATAAACTCACCAATCACTAAACAGTGCTCAATGGTATTATGTCCACCTGTGATAGGGCACAAATTAAAATCCTATTGTCACCCTTACCAGTGGAAAAAGCAGAAATTCCTCCTGTAGTACTTCAAGCTTTCTCAGGAACATGCAGAAACTGAGGAGGATGTCGTCCAGCTTCCCTGGGCTCTGTACTGAGAGTGCTAGACCGTAACAGTGAAGGACAGGGATTCACCAGGCTGACATGGTGTTTGTGGCACGTACCACAATTTAAGGAATAGCAAAAAAATGCCTGTGCTTTCTCTGACCTGCTAACACCAAGCTGTAGTGTTCCTCTGTATTTACATGGATGCTATGTTCACATTACATCCAGTAAAAACTTCATCGTAATCTACACCCAATCTAGGAGAGAAAAAACTACACACAAGAAAAAAAAGAAGTTGATGAGGAAAGTAAGGGAAAAGGAAGCTTAAGAAGGAAGCACAAGAAGAAAAGGAATCCAGCCTGTTATACAGCAAAAAGAAAAGAAATATACTTAAGAAATTGTAAAAGGCACGATGAAGAAGAAAAACCACTACATAGAGGTAGGAAACCCAGAAGAAAATACTAACAAGAGTTTTTACTTATTAAACCGTCTAGATTACCACTCAGAAGTTCTTATTCTTTTATTTCATTGGAGCAGAAATGCTCAGAGAAAATGAAAGGTCTTCCTCTAAATAAAAGGAAGGAATACCAGATAATTAAAAATCATTTTAACCCCCAGTTCCCCTAAGATGTTCCTCCTAACCACTCCTCTGTTTTTGGTGGACTGTGGGACAGTGGTGCATCAAAAACTTGAATATATCCTGGCATGACCCATTTTTTAGATATATAATCACAACATTTATTTTTCTCCATGGAGTGAAATTTATCCTCTGCTGCATTTAGTTAACTTCATTGAAGGACTAGTTTATTGAAGGATCAGTTCAGGAACTACTCTCAGGACTGAAGTTTATGTAAAATATTTGAGAGGTATAAATGGGTATCACAACTGCCAATATAGTTTTATGTTACAGAAGTCAGGTAGGATAGTTTTTCCAGTCTAGGCAGCAGTTATAATTCGCATTAACCTTTTTCAAGACACTGTTTGTAAAATAACAGTGGAATACTGTGAGGATAGATAGAGCAGTGAAAACTAATTAGACATTTGCTGAAATAATCAGGCCCTATTTCCTTATGACAACCTATTACAAACATTGTTAATTGGACACTTCAGTCCTTAGTGCCCCTCAGCTTGCCTGTCAAGGGTGCAGAGGAGGATCCTCACTGATAAAAAGGAAGTCAGTAATTATGTCTGAAGAAGGAGCCTTTTTTTATCTTCAATACATACTGCAAACAATGCCTTTGTCCCCCGTTTCCTTTGTTTTACTGTAACAAAACATATCAAACCCAAACCCAAGTAAACAAGAAAGAAAACGAACAAACAAACAAAAAAAAAAACCCACCCCAAAACAAAAGAAACGCTCTGTATTTCGCATGCATTTATAACTGCCTGGAGGACTTTTTGAAGAATTCCACGACGAAGAGGCAGGAGGAGGATGTCTTTCCTGACCTGGCCCATAGAGTTCCACCGCCCACAGCACCACTCTGCCTCCAGACCTTGATGGCTGCGGCCCCTCATCTCTCCGGTTGTGGCTCCTCTCCCTCCTGCTCGCGTCTCGCACAGCAGCGGCTAAAATTGCTTTTTCCCTCCCCCCTTCGGTACTGGACACACTCCCCTTTCCAGCTCTGCCTCGTCAGCTATTTCGGGCCGCGCTTGATGTCTCTCCATGGCTGCGGTCCGTTCACCAAACCAATTTTAAAAAATACAAGTAAAAGGGTGAGGAAGTATGAGGCTAAGGACCGGGGACTTCCACACAGCCGTACTCATGCCACGGCGCAACGGGCGTCACGGCACGGGCAGGGAGGCGTCGGGACGGATCCTGGTTCAGGAACCAGGGAGCCTCGGTCCGGCAAACGCCCCGTTCCCTCTGGGGACAGCCATGCCTTTGGGAAACGATGCTCCGTCCCTGCAGCCCTCAGCGTCCCTACTGCTCCCACGGCCCGCGCGGGGCCCGGGGAGGCGGTGGAGGCGGGAGATCCCGGGATAACCCTGCGGGACGGGCCCGGCCTGGCCTGGCGCTCCCGCGGCCCCCCCGCGCTCCCCTCGCCTGACCCGCGCCCGGAATCTGCCCCGCCACCACGGAGACACGGCCCGCCAATCAGCGCGCACGGCTCCCGTCGCCACGGCAACGCGCCGCCCAATCCGCGGCCGGCTCTCCCGCCCGGCCCCACCCGCTGCCCCCGCTCCCCCGCGGGGCGGGGCCGGGCTCGGCAAGGCGGTGGGCGGGGCCAGCGGGGGGGCGGGCGGCCAATCGCAGCGAGGCTTTTGCTTCGGTGCCCAATGGGGGCGCGGCGCCCGCGCGGCCCTTAGTCCACGGGAGCCGAGCGGGGCCAAACCCAGCTGCGGCCGCGGCCTCCTTCTCTGCGCGCCCCCCCACCCGCCGGCGCGGAGTTGGCGGCGGCGGCTTCGGGCTCTGTCCCCGCGTCCCCCCGCCGGGACCCCCCCCGCGGCCGCGCCCGGCCCCGCGCCCCGGCCCGCGCCGCCCCGGCAGCGCCGCCTCCGCCCGCGGGGCCCGGGCCGTGCCGGGGGAGGAGGGGGAGCAGCGGGAGCAGCGCCGCCGCCGCCGCCGCCGCCGCGGGCGGGCCCGTCCCCCAGCGTCCCCCCCGAACACCATAGGCGGCTCCGGCTCCAAGATGTCCAACCGGGTGCTCTGCCGGGAGGCCAGCCACGCCGGCAGCTGGTACACGGCCTCAGGTACCGCCGCCGGGCGCGGGGAGCGGGGCGCGGGCGGCGGGCGCTGAATCAGCACTTTGGGGCCGCCGGGGCCGCGGCCGGTACCGGGCGCGGGGAGGGGCCGCGGGCTCCGCCCCCGCCGGCACATGGCGGCCGGGGGGGCCGGGGGGCCGGGCACGGTTACCGGCGGGGAGCGGGCGGAGCCGGGCAGGGGGAGCCGCGCCGCTCCCGAGCGCACCCCCGGGCCCCCCGACCCGACCTCCGTTCCCGGCGGAAAAGCGGCGTTCGGTGGTGGCCGGGGCTCGGTCCGCTCCCGCTGGTGCTTTTCCGTGTGCCTGCCGTGCCCGGCAGCCGCGGCTCGCCGCAGCCCCGTGTGTGAGGCGGCGGTGCCGGAGCCCAGCCCTTGTGCTGTGCCTCGCACCGAGCGATGCGCTCCGTCAGTCTCGGAGCACACGGACGGATCTCTGTTCTCGTGTGCTCTTATGGGGATTTCTGGTTTGTTTTGGTTTTTTTGTTTTGTTTTGTTTTTTCCTTTGAGGAAATACCGCACGTCTGGGGTGTTTCGCAGGGTTAGAAGGCAGGCGAAGAGGTGTGAAAATAAGGAGACTTATTTCGCTTCTTGTAGTCCAGGGCGACCTTCTGTCTTTTCTTCTCGAGCGCTTTCTCTGGCAGCAGTGAAAAGTTATTAAGCAGGATTGCAGAGTGGGCTCTGTCCGTTTAAACGTGTGGTACTTGCAGGAAAAGAAGAAAGACCCGGTGCTTTGGAGGGAGAGCTACCGCTCCCTTCAGCGTCCGTCCCCCCCAAAAAGGCAAAAACCTCTAATAATGGCTTGGTAGCTCATATGTTTGGAAATAAGTTTTGTTGGGTTTTGGGGCAGAACTGCAATTGTGGAAAAGATGCACGTCTGTCTTTTCAGAGCCGTTCATAAGGAGATTTGTAAAGGATGTTCTTTTACTGGCCCCGGGAGTAAAGATGATTACAAAACTGCAGGTGAACGAGCTTAGATGAACAAGAGGCTGTCGTAATGAGCAGTTCAGAGAGGCACAATTGAAAAAAAAACAGTGAAGCATGGCATTCAGGATCCTAAACTGACATTTAAGGAGAATTAGATGTGAGAAGTCATACACTTCTTTTGGCTATATATATAATAGATGCAGTCTCCCCTCTCCTCCACAAATGGATGAATGAGGTATGAAGCAAAAATTGAAAGGGAAGAAAAGAAATACAGGGAGGAGGGTAACACAGGAAGAGGCGGATTGTGAGATAAGTAGCTGGGCTTCAAATGGTGGGTAGGCAGTTTCGAGACAATAGAGGATGATTGTTTTCCTTCTGAACTTAATATTCTAAACATAAGTGTTGTGTCCATTACAGAAGTGGTCTCAAATCTTTGTGTAGTGTCGACAGGTTGCAATTACATTTTTTTCCCATGGACTAGAAAGGTGTAAGGTAGTACTCTTCACAGAAAACAACAACCAAAAGAAAATCTTGTCAAAAGTGTGGGTTTAAACACATGCACGGACACCAAAACATCAAAGTTTTGTGGTAAGACCAGCTTGTTTCTGCTATTTATGTTTTCATTTATGCAGAAAACTTATTTGCAATACGGAATGGCTATGTGACCTTACACATAAATTTTGAAGTGTATTTGATATTGGACTTCATACCCAGTTATTGATGGATAGTTTCAAATAAGAATTTTAATTTTAAAAAAAAAATTAAAGGGGCATGGATACTGTGTTGGGCTGTTTTCCTTCCTATAAAAATTCAGTGCCTAATTTTGTTAGGCTACACCCTGTTAAGTCTGTGTGACTGTTTTGGACAGTACTAGCTGTTGCTCCCATTGCTTTTGGGCAGCCCCCTGGGTGTTGCTTATTGAGGAGATGTGGGATGGTTGCCCAGACACACTGCATAAAAAAAACCCACCAAAAATAGACAAAGAATCAAACAAAAAAAACCAAACAAAAAACCCACACCAAAAAACCTGAATCATGTTGTGATAAATTATGACAACTGTACTTAGGAGTTAAATTGTGAGTCTTACAGCATTTGTGTTGGAGGTAAGTTATTGATGTTGCATAAGCTGGAGTTTTGGGAAATATGTTTTTTCTTAAAAAAGAAAAGAATTTTATGTGTCTTGCTGTAGAACTGTCTTCTGCTGTTTACATGGGTATGTGAGAGCAGGAATTCTGCCTGTTCAACAAGACAAGGACTACTCACTGTTGGTTGAAAGCTAATGTTGGTGTGCCGTTTGGAGGGTACATCAAATCTCAAGAGGAAACAAATGGGGACCAAGAGGGTCTTTGTTCATCATAGTCTTAAAAATCTTCCTGTGTTTCAGTCTAAACTCATGTCAGCTGCTATGTCAAAATTGTAACACGGGCTCCTCGATTGTACTACTTGAAAAAGTGGATTTTACCATGTGCTTTCAGGCTGCATAGCTTCAAGGATGGAACTGTGGCAGGGATTATAGTTTGAATTGTGGTAGTTCTTCACTGCATTCCCATGATTCTCTAGGGATTGTCTTTTCAAGTCCTCCTACCTCCTCCTTTCTTCGTGCTTACTGTCTCGGCCAGAAGCGATTTGCTGTGTTATATATAAACTGGTTAGCATTTAAGCTTCCTGTTTCCTCAAAACTGCTCTCTTTCTGCAGAGCTGAGTTTGACTGCACAGGGTGAGTGGTTGCCCTGGCTACCCTTATCCTGCTTCACAGTTAAGATGACCCCCTCTAAAAGGGTATTGAGAAACATGATTTTTGAAAAGGATATTCAAAGTGGTTACATCAATTCATTTTAAAGGGGTTGTATGAGGATGAGGTTTTTAAGTGGCATTTTATCCTGATGTGCCTCGTACCTGAGACATCCTGGATTGGATAGGGGGTTGAAAAGTGAAGCACCTGTTGTTATGCTGAAAAAAAGAAGCGTCTGTGAGATCTGGCTACAGAAGTCAGCCCTGGGAAAGAAGGACCGAAGCCATCTGATGAGGGAAGAAAAATTATGGATCCGCAATGCAAACCAGCTTTTTTGACCAGAGGATATCCTTGAACTGGATTAGTTGGCTCCTGTGCAGTCCAGGAGTGGAAGCAACATCAGAGGTGAAGCCACAACTAAGACCAAGGTACTACTCTTCATGGATGGTCAATGTAATGTATGTAAGAGGGTTTAGAAGAAACACCACTTCTTGTCTTTAGAGACTGCTCGTTTCTATGGGACAGGAATTGCTTCAGTTGAAATTAGACTCTCGCTCCCCAGCTTTCCCCAGCCATGGGATATGCCTTGCTTAGGTTCTGCCTTGGAAAATATAAACATGCACTACATTCTAATACAAATACACCACCTACTTGTATGATGCTAATTAACTCTGTAGAGCAGGTGAGACTGGCTGTGCAATTATGCACATCCAGGCATGTTCATGGGTCAGAGTGTTACATCTAAGTAAACAACTTTATTGTTATTAGATGGAAAGTTGGATCCCAGGGAGGAAGGCTCACTGCCACCTACTCAAGGGAGCTGAGAAGGGGGCAAGGAGTAGAAGATGGACTTCACAGTGGTGTTAGCATTTAACTGCCCATGTGTTCTTCATTTATAGTGTGCTATTCTAACAACAAAAAAAAAATTTAAAAGCAAGTTCCTTAAGAAGTTTCTGCAGGTGAGTTCAGGATGAAAAATTTAACCAAAATTATTGTCTTCCGTTCTGCTCTAGAATTCTTGGTGTGGGGAAGTTCATTTTCATTCCACATCAGTCCATGCAGCATTTGCCTGACAACAAACTTAACTATGAAGTCTGGTCAGTTGTTCCTCCTCCTATTCAGCAGCAGCACTGAGTTTGGGAAGCTTTACAACTGAGCTTCCAAACTGAAATACTGCAATGCCTATTGCTGATAGTAGGCCACTGGTTTAGACAACCTCACTTTTTACTTGTGTCAATATGTCTGCTTTTAAAAAAAACTGGAATGGGACATGTCATTGCTTTTGTGGACAAGCAGCCTGGTGCATGGTGGCCACTGAAAACACTTGCGAAAATGAGTTAAAAGCATACCAAGTAAATGAAAACATCACCCTGTTGCACTGCTGTCATGTAGTTGTTGAGAAAATGAAAAAGGAAATCACACTGTTGTGTGGTGAAAAATATTACATGCAGATTTATTTTTGGAAGAAAGTCCCACTCCTACTGCGTTAATTCAACCACCTAGTGTCCAGACCTCTTGAGAAATTGATTTTGACCAGCAGGGGGAAGAGGAAGATTAAGGACAACTTGAAACAAAAATGACATAATTTTCCAAGGCTTTGAATGCTGGATAGGTACATTCCTAGATCCAAAGAGAGCAGCTGAAATATGATGGGAATAACATGCTATCCTGAGCATGGACTGTTGGCAGGACAGGGTGTGGATGCCCTATCCTGATTTACTCTTCAGTGTGAGTCGATTGAGTGAGTGCTGGGCAGTTCTTTGGGGAATCAATCCATACACTCCTGAAATGGAAATAAACATTAGCTATGTGCATCTTTTTTTCCTATTTAGCATGCCGTTACAAGTGAGATGTCACACATTAGAGTGCTTAACTTGGCTCATTGGCTGGCAGCTGGCCTGCTTCACCTGGCTCCTGGAAGTGCTAACTGAATACTGTACTGCTCTTTATTAAAGCGTGTGATAAGAGTTTTTGTCTCAACTTTTCCCCAGTCAGTGCCATTATATGGCATTGATACGGGCAAAACACAAAGGTTTTTAGGCTTTTCCAGGTTACAGGAGTAAAATCAAATAGAGAGGCTGTGTATGAGTAACAATATTACATGATCTGAAACTTGCCCTGCAAAACAATTTTGTTGTTGTTTTATGTTTTATGTTTTATGGCTTACTTCTCTGTTTTCCCTGACCAAGCTGTAGTGGCCAGAGGTGTGCTCTGTTAGCCTGTGCCAAGTTGTTTGAACTAGGAGAACCTTAATTTCCATAAGCTTATTAATGCAAGTGTGAGTTGGCAGAGTAATTGCTGTGTTGACTTGAAACACCATTGCGCTTCTTGTCT